AGTTTCAACTTAAGCCTGTCAGGAGAGATGGACAATGAGACTCAAATTGACTTATACCAAAAGCACACCATTAGCACATTTTTTCTATACGGTTGTAAAATGTGGATTTGAAAAGTGAAAAAAGGCAATACAGTTACAATAAAAGAATCCCAAAGTGATTTTTTGCATAGGTAGACATCCTATTCCGAACAGTTCATCAACCCTGTCCTTAAACAGAGCTTTGCCAATTCATAGGCATAACCATGAAAGTCAGACAAGATGGTAAAAAATTAAATGACTTTCCGCTGAAAGTGTCCGTCTGGTAGCAAAACTTGGTCCCCTTCCAGCCTAAATCCCAGATTTATAGGACCATTTTTGCGTGATACATAAATAAACGTTTCAAAAGCAAATGAAAATCCGTGACGGGTAAGTAAGAAGTATCTAATCACATTGTCTTTCAGTTAACAAGATTGATTCATCCATGATTAAGGGAAAGACGTGAGGCAGCGAGGAAGGCATGGGAATTCGCTTCGGTAAAGCAAGAGCGGCCAGAAGGAAGTCTACGGACCATCGGTCTTCTGGGCCAGAATTGTTAAGACCCTGGTGCCGATCACCTCCTTGAACTTCACCTCGAGACGATTCGGCTCACCTGCCAACAAAATAGCGTCTGTGGTACCGGAGCTTGGCCGTGTTCTGACCCGCCCGGAGGGATCAGGGTGGGCAGCGCCGGCAGAGGCGAGGCGAGCAAGTCTGCCACGGCCGCTCTTCGCCTTAACCGCGCTGCTTGGCCGAAAGAATAAAGAATGAGGCTGAGTTTGTTGCGTTGCGCGGCTAGCAGGCCTCTTGCCTGAACAGGTCCTGGCAGAGGATCGTCTATGTTGTTGGCCAAAAGGAAAGAAGGCCATGATTATAGACAAAACAAGGATATCCGTATAGAGTAGGCTTCAAAATCATCAGTAAAACATGAATAAGAATTCCAATCATCTTAGGTCTCATGAAGTGATGAAGAATTGGTAGTTGAATTATTTCACGATCGGATAAGTTGGCCTCACGTTTTCATTTAATTTTACAAAGATATCTTTAAGCGGTATAATCCTCCCTTTTCACAAGCCGATCGGGTGACTGCTGAGTGACATACAATTTACCAACATGGCCCAGGTTTACACCTGATTAGTTCTGGACTATGCGCAAAAAGGTGGCTTTAGAGGCATTTCTTAGCTTATACTTTTTAAACTCGCTTCCATTTCGAATGAAAATGTATGGTGTAGAGATTCGAAGCCCGATTCCATCAGAAGCGATAGCAGATTCCTCTCAGCCAGCGATTGAAACGCTTTACTGGAGCATTCTGAGTAATGCTGTCCCGAGGTGATCTCCCACGAAAAGCTGGGTTTTAATGAATCCTTTAGTGAGTTAATGTCACTCGTTTTTTTCATTTGGAAGGAAAAATTGGTTGGAAGGAATTCGTGAATTGGTCTCACAGGAGAATGAAGAACGATTGGAGTGATTTGTAGGGAGAAGTCTTCGAATCTGGTTCCTGAGGTCCCGATAAATCCATGCTAAACTTTCGTCTGTCATGTGGCAGATATCGTCATACTTTACAAAATAATGCGCATAATACTAATGAGGTGGGACTAGGTAATTAAGCCCTTCCAACCAACTTTTCATCCGACAACAAATATTTAGAATCTGAAAATAAGAATATAGGCGCCCCAGGCTGCGAAAGGGGATTTAACGACTTATATTGGAAATGTTCCTATAATTTTACACTTAGGCCCCACAAAGTCACAGAATTTCACCCTCCACATATTCCTCAAAAATGCTGGACTGAAGATTCGCCATTATAGATTTTTATTAAGGAATACTGGTGATTCAGAAATATACTCACAGTGAATTTAGGTAACGACGTCAATCTTGACAAAAATACCTTAGCCTCATCACTAATTTCTCTATGATTGTGATTTAGAA